CCCCCGCCTTTTCTTTCTCTTATTTCATTCTGTGGTTGTTCAGTACATGAAATAGTCCAACAGTCCAACTTTCATGGCAGAGATGGGCAAAAAGGCAAGTGAGTTCAGTGTTTCATCCACTGCATCTCTATGGAATACCTTTTTCCCAGAACAACCCTACTACTGGTTGCCCATTTGCTTAGAGTATGTCCTTTGGCAAATGTGCAAGGCAGTAAAGTTCACTTGCTTTCTTTCTCAAGTGATGCTGTGATTTTTGTTGCCTTTTACCACCATTTCTAAACTTTTATTGGGCCAAAGATCAGTAGGGCTTTGAGAGATTCCTATAAGCTGTCACACTGATCTCAAATATATTAAGTGGCTCAAAATAGTGTTACTCCCTTAATTACAGAGACCACATTGGTGAAGTAATCTATGATTAATGACATAGAAAACACTGAACAAGACTAGTTAATAAATGTCATGTTTGCAGTCTTCCTCATTCCTTATTGTTTTCCTCATTGCCAGGTTCACTGGTTGAACTGGCTGGCTTGAATTAATGTAACTGTAATCCAGACCTCATATCATAAACAAATTATTGCAAAGTAGTAACTTGGTATCCAAAACAAGCACACAACATATTAACTTATCTGCGGCAATAATAAGAGTAGCCACAAGCCTGAAACAAGAATTGCCTAGGGAAGAGGGTAGTGACATTTCCTTAATACAGTGTACTGTAGTGTCTTTGAACTGAAGCAAGCATGAATTACAGTAATAGAACATAATATCAGTGTTTCACAAATAGGCACACATTATTTAAATGCAAGTTTTAAGTATTACTGTGTTGAAATTCAAAACATATATTTTGTCTTTTGACTCATTGCCAGCATCTAAAAAAAACCCCCAGACTTGTACTTTGTCTCCATTATACACCAGAAAGCATTTAGCATTGTTATTGTAAGGTTATTTTAGGTCAAGTTCTTGTTTTAATAGAAAAATAAAATAGGAAAAGGAAGAGTTCAGGGACAGCCACAGATACTATCATTGTATAAGTTCTATTTTTCAGTCAAGGGATCTGTGAAGAAAAATCCTGCTGCTGCTTAGGTAGATGTGACTTGTGGTTTAATGCTCTATTTCTGTTAAACTTATTTCAATGAAAGGAAAGAACAGAAATAGTCCCTATTTAAGATTTATGATAAACATGCAGGTTCTGATCTTAGAATGCACATACTTAGATCTTCAGAATGCACATACCTGTCATATGAAGCGTAGATACATCCCTACTGGCCTTAGAGGGTGCCTATAGGGGTTTGCAGCTTGAAAAGAAGTATGTTCTCATTTTCAGGCATGGGGTCACAGTGTAACTTATATAGACAGATCTCTCAGGCTTATTGCATTAGTGAATAATGTGAGAAACAGTCCTGGGTAAGAAGGTAGTAGATCTGATTATCACCTGATTCTGGGTTGCCACCTCAAACTGGCAGGATGCAGTAGATCATAACAAGCCAATTTGAGTACAGAAAAAATATTACTTTATTTTCAAAATTAAATTTTAAAAAGTACTACTCAAGATTAGACAGCGTCTACAACCAGGCAATACGTTAAAAATATTCATGAGTATCTGTTGCAACAGAATAATTTCTCTTCAGTAGCATTCATTATTCTTTCGTCAAGAATAGTCCAATTAAAAGTAGTTGCAAGAACATAAACAGAAGTTAAAAGATATGTATTTGTTAGGAATTAAATATCCCATCAAGAAATGGCAATCTAAATACATACAGATTTCTATGCCAGGTTAATATAAATGATCATGTTATCTTAATGCCTGCTTTTTTTTGTTTCTTCAGTTGTTACAGACCTCCATGTACAGTCCGAACGAAACGCTGTGATGCTGGATTTTATTTTAGTGAAGAAGTGTGCCGCTGTGTACCCACATATTGGAAAAGACCACTTATGAATTAGTGATGAGAGCACTGCTTACTATTTTGGTGTACATTTTTCCATTAGAACAAAACAAGAACAGAAAATTCGCTAATATTTGGAATTAAATGTTCACCAGAGACCCTGTGGGGCTTTCAGAGACAGACCCATTGTGCTTTTCTCAAGATGTGGAAAGCAAATGTAGAAGAGAAATGGGGTTCATGTTTTGTAAAGGACTCAATAAGGACTTATTTTCTGCCAATGACCAAACAGCCTAGGTTCTCCTTCTTGTGATTTTTTTTTAAAGAGATAATGACTATATAATTTATTTCCACTAAAACCATTGTGCAGCATTTCTGTTTATAGCAGTAACAATTGTTAAAGCTCACTGTGATCAATATTTTTATATCATGCAAAGTATGTTTAAAATAAAATGGAAATTGTATTATATAATGGTGAGAATGTTTAATCATCTGCCTGAACAAAAGAACTACAATTCAGCTTTATTATCAGAGTTCTTAAAAGGAGGAAAGGTGATTAAGAGAAAGCACTTTACAAAAGGAAGACTGCAGACATTTGCTCATACCTGTTGTATGTGTAATTTCAAATAGAAAGAATTATACTTAGTGTTTTAAACCCCAGTGATATTTCTGTCTCTAGAACAAAACTAGCAAAGCAAATACAATTAATAACTAATGAAAACATTGGGGATCCAGCAGCAGCTACTCACATTCCAAGATACTCACGTTTCATATTATTTACTGTTAGTATTCCTAAAGAATAATATAAAATAATGTCTGTTGAAGGTTACTAGTAGGAAAATGGAAATGCCAACTATGTTTTTTATTTAACATTACCAGCTATATTGTAAAATTTACAACTACATAATTCAGAATGCTTAGATGCACTTTCACTCTTTCATATAGTCAATTGGATATGTTGGTCAAAAATAATGTATGTGCGTGCAAAATTACTTGGAAGGAAAATAATAGATTTTACATTCCAATGGGGATATGAAAGGACTTCCACCAGTCTGGTATGGATTGACATCATCTCTACATAAAAAAATGGTCAGGACTTCTCTTTAGTAAAGAGAATGTGAAAACAAACATCTACAACTCTAAAAAGAGGTAAGTTTTTTACCTTGCATGGAAAGAGCAATGTGCATAGAACAATCTATTCAAAATCAAAATGTTTCAGAAGTTGGGAGGAAGTTGTTAAATTATGCAAACTTTATTGGGTACAGAAGTGGAACAAGTAAAGCTGCAAAGCAAGATTTTTTGTGACAGGAGTGGGCACATCTGCAAAAATATTTTTAGATGTCATTATTCTGAAGTGTTGCTTCTAAGCAGCTATTCTTAGAAGGGCTATTAATTAAACAGTACTATTTCTGATTATTTCCTAGAAAGGTGGTGATGGGGAGCTGCTTTTCTAGATTCTTGAATATATAGATATCACACTTCCTAAAACTGAGTGAAAGCTACTTGTGTTTTATTACCCCCCATCATGAGTTGAGACTGACTAACAGGCAGGATGAGAGGCAGCTTGAAAGTTCACGCTTTCCACTGTACATCTAATGTCCCCAGTGCTCTTCCTAAGAGGCCAGCTATTTGTTATCCAAAGAGGATAACAGGATGAAGCTTAGGCATACAGATACCAAGGAATGTCTGTGTTACATACTGCCTTAGCAATCACATGCAGGTAGAACTCCGGATGACAATTTAACATTGAAATACAACTTTACATCAGTATAACAAAACACAATTCCCATCGGTTGGCTTAGTAGTCGTGCAAGTCAACGGTGTCTAAACTGGCAGTGTCAATCTAATAGCAAGAGGTTAATAGCCAAAACTTCATTCAGTATTATTAGTGATCCAGACATGCACACCTATATGTCAGCTGCTTGAAAGAAGCATGACATACCTTAAAAAATCAATTAAAGAGCAAACTTTATGAAGACTTGAGAAATCAAGCAAGCTGTAGATGAAGCTCCCCAAATAAGCTTTTTAATTTTTATCCAAGCCCAATACAGAAGAGAGGCAATAGGGGAAGGACAAACCAAATCTGAAACCAGGACTGTATGCTAAGTAAGCCAGTATCTAACAGATAAAATATATACTTGTGGTTAAAAAGGAAGAGGGCACAAGTGAAGACAGGGGAAAACTGCATTCCAGCAAGTAATTCTATGTAATTATAAGAAGTGCATGTTACAATCCTGTGCAAATAAAAACCCTACTAAACTGAGCAATGCTCACTTTATGCGTCTAAGCTATCTGAAAGGAGTTCATGAAAACAGAGCTAATAAAACCATCCTGGCTAAGGAGATATTTGGATTTCTACTGAGCATGTTACACTCCAAAAGCATAAAACCCATCAGAGTAGGGAAGGGAAGGCAGGGAGTTTGAAAATAAGGACACTGAACAGGAATCTCCAGCTTTATTACAAACATCAGCATTCAATAAGAATGACTTTCTGGAATGCGGTTTTTTTTTTTTTCAGTTTCTTAACTTTCCACATACTGAGACTTTTGGACATAAATTATGTAAATCACTAAGTAAACATAAGATTTAAAGAAAGCAAAGCACTGACTTCTAAAAGTTACCCCAAATCAGGTTTGTGTCTGAGCAAAGCAACTGGTTAACGGTTCTCAAAGGTATGCAGATGAGTAGGATAATAACTGCGAGCAGCTGATAGCATTTTCTGGTAATCAGGCTCTCCCATTCTGCTTTAGATGAAACAAGAACACAATAAATATCACAATTATTATCATTATTATAGGGTAGAGATTTCCCATTCTATGTGATAAAACATGATTCTGTTTGTACTGTCACAAAATCATCTATATTTAAGCAAGTGTTTGTGGAGAAATAGAGTGGTGGCATAATCTGCATAGCAGGTCTTCCTTGCATCTATTGTATAAAGTAGGTGATAGATTTACACCATTTTCAGTCTTGAAGTGTTATATGAATATGATCTCTTTGCAATTTTCATCTTCAAATCTTAATTTGGTATTCTTAAAACATATAAAAAATAAACTATACAGCTTAAAGGAAGATCTAAAAATATAGGTGATAATTATACATACAAGTTATTCTGCACTAACTCTGAATAAAAAACTTATGTTGTTATTTGCCTAAAACCTCTGTGCCTTCTGCAAAAAATACGGG